TCATTGCGAAACTCTATCCAGAGAGACAAGGAGGAAAGAAAGGATCATCTTGACACCATCCAAGATACTCTATCCAGAGTGGAAATCCTTCTAACAGCACTGAAGGACTCAAAAACAGTCTTCAATCAATTGGTCCATTCCTCACTAGAGATAGAGCGAAGACATAAAAACCTCAAAAATGTCCTTGAGACACTTTTTGACGACCAAAGCTCTGAGGAAGACCAGTCAGAATCTGACCATGAAGAAGTCCTAACTCCTTCTGCAGCACAGTACTGGAACAGCCTTCATGCCCACGCCTTATCTCCCTCAGGAGATGAAAGTGAAAGATCATGGGCGTCCTCAGACGGACAGCTTGAAAGAAGAAGGGCCGAACGGGCAAAGGCTAAGCAGCCACAACCGGCTAAAGCCGAGGCAACTCCAATCAGCTCACAAGCTGCACCAAAGGCCGAGCCAAAGGCGACTACATCCAACCATGGATATGACACTGCAGACGCCGCCTTCACCAGGGCTGAGAACAGATTACTCGGAATCTTTTCAAGTTCCGAAGAAGATCACTCAGACCCGGATGAACCACATCCGAACGTCTATGCTCGAGCCTATGATCCAAACCTGGATCCAAATCTGAGATAAGGAAAATCTCAGAGTTTCACAACAGTGACTCACAAGGCTCTAACAAGAGCACAGTGAAGGGCTGCATAATTCGATAGAAGAACATTACCAGACCTGATCCTGTACAGACGATCTCTCTGACCAATGTGCATGAAAGAGTTCAAAAGGAGTGATTTCAAGAGTGACTTCAACAGTGTACTTCAGTGCTATACCTAGCATAAACAATATGCTGTTTTTATCATGAGTCCAAACTCCGCAACTGTGACAGTGGGCATAATAGTATATGTGTGAATGTGCGGCCATGCTTCCGGTAAAAGAAAATTAGTGTCTGTTTGTTTGCGTAAACCTCTAAAGGGGTAGCTCTAACAGGTACCTACAGCAATGGCTGCATGCTCATACATATACATTCCGCTGCCCATTGGCTCACAGTGGTTTTACCATATTGAGACAAGACAAGCTCTCCTTGCGTAGCAAGACAAAACAACTACTGTCCGTGTGCAGGGCGCTGCCCTTTGATCCTTAGGGAATAAACTGGTCATACACCTCCTAACAAGGAGCATTTCCTTGTGGGTGTATCGGCTCACCCCCCCTTGTTTGCGTAAACCTCTAAAGGGGTAGCTCTAACAGGTACCTACAGCAATGGCTGCATGCTCATACATATACATTCCGCTGCCCATTGGCTCACAGTGGTTTTACCATATTGAGACAAGACAAGCTCTCCTTGCGTAGCAAGACAAAACAACTACTGTCCGTGTGCAGGGCGCTGCCCTTTGATCCTTAGGGAATAAACTGGTCATACACCTCCTAACAAGGAGCATTTCCTTGTGGGTGTATCGGCTCAGTTTTCTGGTAGCGGAGCCCGGAAAGGGCCGCCCGCCTCCCAAAGTCCGCTACAGCGGTCGGCCTCGCCGAACGCTTAACCAAGCGGATAAGAGGCAGCACAATGTCGAGCTCGCATAGCGAAGCCGACGACAGTTCCCAATCCTCCGGGGGATATGAGAACGAAGAGACCTCCCAAGGTCCAGCCACTTATGTCGCACAGTCATATGCAACATCTGACCGCATGCTTGCATCATTAGGCATAACGCCCAAGATCGCGCCTGCCTATGATGGCACCACCTCGTGGTTTGAGTATGAACAGTTGATTGACGACTGGTGCGACATAACAACGCTGGATGACACCAAAAGAGGTCCGTCTCTCAAGACGAGGCTCTCCGGATTGGCCGCAGTACAAAAGGAATCACTGAACCGAGAAAGGCTTGCAGCCCCAGATGGAGTAGATTACTTCAAGAAGAAGATGCGTCCATTTTTCGTGAAAGGAGAACAGTACGTTTTCCTGTGGCGTTTCCTCGGCCTATTCAAGGCATGGAAGGGCAACCAAGACTTTGTGACTTGGATTGCCAAGTTTGAGATCGTGCTACAGCGCGTGAAAAACTCATGGATGGATCTCTTACCAGAGATAGCTCTGGAGGATGCCCATCCAGATTTCATGCAAGCTGTGCAGGCAGACCAAACCTTCTTGCGCATGCAGGATGCAGCCGAGAGAGACACATATGCCGCACGCTATTTCGAAACATGGAACAAGGAACGCCTTGACAATCATCGAAGAGCGTTTCCTCTGAACGATAATCTCCTAGCTCTCCTCTTCCTAGTGCAGTCCGACCTAAATGAGATGCAACGTGAGAGGTTGGTAACAGCATTGACCAACCAAGGTCACCGAATTGAGACCTACACGTACCCTGTGGTACGGCAGACCATGTTCGATCAGTTCTCAACGACCAGAACTGGTCTGCAGGATCCCAACATTCGGCACTCTTCTCACAAGAAGGACCGCCATGGAAGGAGAGACCAACGCCGTAAACGCGGAGGTCGAAACTTCCTCATCCTCGATCAGGGTGAATACGATGGAGTCGATGGATTCTGGCTCCAAGACGAAGACACCCTTGAGGAAGGCTTTCTTGCCGCCGAGGATGAAGAAGCTGTCTTCTGGACAGTTGATGACCATGAGGCCTTCGTTGCAAGGAGATTCAAAAAGGGAAGAAGACCAAGAATGCGTCCCGGATCACCGGGAAGAGCAAAGGGTGGCAAGCGAAAAGGACGTGGCCGTTTTAGGTCATACCGCGGAAAAGGGAGAGCCAACCAGGCAGAACATGATCCAACTGATTCCAGCTATTTCGGTAAAGGTAAAGGAAAGGAAAAAGGAAAAGGTGGAAAAGGCAAAGGAAAAGGAAAGGACAAAGGAGATAAAGGAAGCTCCTTCAAAGGCGCAAAGTTATGAGATTTTTTTGGCCTTTGGTATAGGTTTCAAAAAACAATTATTTTTGCAAAAGTTTTGTACAAATTTTGCGACAGCATTTTGCAAAAAAAATAGTAATGATTTTATTTTTGCACAACAAATTTCAATAATATTCATTGCTTTCCATGTATATGGATTGCTGCTGATTTCCAAGGCTGCAGTGTGTCGTTTTAGGTTTTTTCATAGCATTCTTGGAGGATCAATAGTGTCCAATGACGTGGCTATGGCTGTAATTTTCGGCTTTGAATGAACTTCACAGGGCTTTTTGCTTTCTGTGCAATTTGCCTGTTTGGTTGGTGTTGGAATCAGGTCGAATGGAGTCTGGTGTATGGTACCGGCTGTCCTTGATTTAATGGCCATACGAAACCATGGGAAGAAGGTTGGTGATTGGTGGTACTGGTGATGAGTCTGGGTTCCGTATTTGGGGTCGCCAGAATCAAAGCAACCTCACAGATCCAAGGTTTGTGCAATGCCTGAAGCAGGTACCAAAAAGAGAAGCTGTTATTGGAGCCGTTGCAATTTCTGTAGTTTTTATGGATACTGTAGATTCGGCACGAGACCCGTTCGGTTGCGAACCGTTCTATTAATGAAGGAAGTGTCCAATCTATGAATGCCCGGACTTTGCTTTAACACCCCAAACCCTGAAAACGAATCTGAAGGCCGAAGCACTCTGGGGCCCTCTGGGGTTCGATGAATGATAATTCCTTCGAGGCAGTTTGATGCTATGGCAATGGCGGCAACGGCTTTCTAGACACAAAGGGCATTACTACGACTATTAGTTACTGAGGAGAGCCAGGGCTTGATTGAGTGTTCGATGTGTTGCTGGAACCGGAACCGCCACGGCATGTCATGTTTGCCCAAACAGGTATTTTCGTGTTTTGAACATGACTCATGATTCCGACGGTGCCAATGGTCCAGCAACCCTTAGCTTAGCTGCAACAACAGGCATTTCAGAGTGGGACATGGGACGAGTGCCACGTTGCAGGTTGCATCACCTGTTTTTTGCAGGCTTACGCTTAGGCGGCTTAGGCCTAGGCATAGGCCTTAGGCGAAGGGTTTAAGCCCCCGAGCTCGACAACAGCCAAACAGTTTGGAGACCTCAGACTAAATCATCCTAGCTTTTGCCGATAGTGACGTGACTAGCCGACTGGCCGTAGCCGAGCAATAGCTTCCATTGGTCGATCGCACGTGCGATCGAGCAACTTCAATGGATACAGATATGGACATGGAAAGTTCATGGGCGCAAGCTTTGGATACTGAGCTGCAGGACTGCCAGCAGCTTTCTCAAGAGATTTCTGAAGCAGAGGTTTTACGGACACCCAGCACTGCAGATGGTCACAGCAGCTCAGAGTCGTCTCCGGAGGGTGTGGTCAATCCACCTTCGCCTGGCTCGACATCCAACACGTGGTGGGGTCGTGTGATAGCTCACGCAGCCCAAGATGCGGGCTTCATGGGTCCGGGCGTGATGCCATCAAGGCCCCTGAATGTGGTGTCATGCTGCGCTGGAAGCTGTTCTGAGAGCTTTGTCTTGAAGGCAGGGCGGGAGTGCAGGCATGTTTCTCCAGCTGCTAGCTGCTAGCTGCTAGCTAGCTGCTGCTGAATGAGTCCAAATTGCATATAGGCCCTATGGGCATATAGTGAATTGCGTCTGAGTCTGAGTGGTGTCCGGGTTTTTGCAGGCCCATAAATCTTCCCGATTTGATACCCTTGTCAAAGCCTTCGAGCACTGTGTGTAAAGATCGGAGTTTCGCTGCAGCATCCCAGAGCCTGACTGCGAGCATATTCCGGATGCTTCATGTGGAATATGAGTATAAGTATAAGCTTAAGGCTTCAGCCTAGGCCTATGGCCTAAGCCTCAGCTCGTTTCCTGCTAGATTCGCTAGATCCTGCCACTACTGCTTTAGGAGGTCCTCGAGTCCTTGGTCTTGGTGTATCTTCATCTTAGCTGTTTTAAGCTTTTTGCGCAATATCACCCACCACTCAGGAACCCTGTGTTCATGCTCCTTTTTTTAACGACCCCAGCTCTCCAGAAAGTTGCATTCTAGTTGTCTCCATTCTGATTTTGTGACATGACTTGTGTGTAGCTCCTCGCCAGGCCTTGGGCATGGACTTCCGAATGCTCTCCATCTCGGAAATCAACCAGGAGTATCGCGAGTTATTCATGGCCAACATGCCTCATGGACATGTGAAGCATCTGTTCGGCAGTTTAGAAGAGCAGCTCGCAGGGCAATCGCCTTGCCTCTTGTGCCAGCAGCAAGGGCAGCAGTGCAGTGTGCGAGAGTTGTGCGAAGCAGAGGGGGTTGACCTTCTTATCGCTGGGTCGCCGTGCGACCCTTTCTCGAAAATGAGGGCTAAGCGGTTTGTTTCTGGCAGCCTGAAGAAGCACGTGTCGTATGGGCTCACGATGGATGCGATGGTGGCTAGCTTCCTATGCCACAGGCCCAAAATAGCCATCATGGAGCAGGTTGCCGGATTCACGATGACATCTGAGACTGGCGCGAGCGATACACCCTATGCAAGGCCTCAGACTCAGAGTGAAACAGCAGGGTAGGTTTTCGGCTTTTCAAGACTTGCTGCGTGCCACCTTTGGAGTCGTTGGGAGAGGGATGAAATTGAGGGATTTGTCGAGTGAGGGTCAGGGTGCTGTCTAGCCAGGGTTAGGGTTAGGGTTGGCGGGCTTAGGGCGAGGGTTGGGGTTCGGGCCAGGGTCATGGTGTGGAAACACGCCTCAACCAAAACTGTGATTGAGGTCGAGGACTCTCTATCATGAAACACTTCGAGGGTACATTAAATCCATGGCCATGACCCTCATCCGAGCCTCATCCTCAGTGTCACTTGCCCTTGCCTTGATCGCCTGAGCCTGAGCCCTGGCCCCTTACCTAGCTGACCTAGCTTCAACTTTTGACTATCCGACGACCCGGACTACCCTACATTGCCCTACATACCCTAACCGCTCAACCTTACACGATGCCTGTGCCCTCACCTCCACAGTAAGTCGAGTTACTAGTTACTACAATTACATTGGTTCCTGTTTCATTTTGCCACCCATCCAAGGGCACAAACTTCTTTCGGTTTGGATTTGGGTATTATTATTAGGAGGCTCTGACTTGACTCAAGCTTCCCCGGCCTTTCTTCCTGCGTGGGCTGTGTGTGGCAGGTTTATGACAGCTTTCAGCGACGCACACACCCGAGCCGGAGCGCCCGGGTACTTCGTGGTCAAGTTCTTGCTGGATGCCAAGCTGTGGCTCAACATCTCCCGGCCCAGGTGCGCCCTCCCGGTCTGGGATGCTTCTCGAAACTTTCGTTGGTTGGGGTTGTATGCCATTGTATGCCCAGGAAATACCAGACACTCAGGTCTTGAGTCTTGAATCTTGAAGCTGGGAGTGCTTGAGTTCTGGGTGCGTTTGGGACTTTGGGCTTAAACTTGGGCCTTTCCTGGTGGGTGAAGGGTCTTATTGATGTGTCCCCAGCGAGTCCTTCACTGCTTTGCTAGCTGCTAGTCACTCACTAATAACACTAGCCATGCATTGCATGTGCCGCTCGAGTGTCTCCCGCACCGGGGCCCCGACCCGGCCCTTGCCTCTTAAGACTCTTGGTCCAGTGAGCTGGGCAGCATCCATGTCAGAATCAAGCAGCTCTTTGTTCAAGATCAAAGGCAGGCAATCGCAGGCACTGGTTAGGAACAGTTGGTAGTTCGAGGATCCGTGGTCGGGACCACAACCACATTGTCATCGGATAGAGAGTGGCAGAGTAGCTGAAGACCAAGGACCAAACACTGACTGCAACAACCATCGGTGAACCTCCCATTCCTGGACCCTGAACTCCCAACCTCCTTTTTCACCTAAGCCCTAAGCCCCTAAGCCTTAAGCCCTAAGCCCTAAGCCTAAACCTGGCCTAAGCCTAAGTCCTCAGTGTCTTCAGTGTCGTCGTAGTGAGTCATACAGTATCATATTGACGTCGTGCCATGTCCAAGACATGTCTGGTGACGGGAATGACAATGAGCTTGATGATGCTTGGGGCAGTGCTTTGGAGGGCGAGTTGGCAGCACTCGCTCCACCTGCTGCAGCTGCACCTTCCGAGCCATCAAAACGACGCCCTGGCAGGCCTGCCGGTACAGGCGGCAGCAGATTTCTTAGGAACCGCATGCGACAGGAGGCAGAGGAAGCAGTGCAACCAGTGCCTGAGCCAGAGCGAGTGGCACCACAGCTGCATGAACTGTCGACTCAGGCATTGCAGACACAAAGGCAGGAAAACGATCGTCTCAAGGAGATGTTCGGGCCCATGCGATTTATCAGGAATGTGGGCAGCACGTTTCAGCGTGTAGTTTCAGAGGCTTTGGTCCAGTCTGTGGATGTTCTGGTTCGAGCTGCTCGAACTCGTGGCATTCTCAAAGCAGAGACAGGCTCAGGTTCCAAGTCGAAGTCGTCTGTGCCCAAAGCAGAGACAGAGACTCTGGCTCCCAGATCTGTCAACAGTATTGTTTCTGGCAAGGCTTTGACAATGTCTGCGAGTGCACTCACAGGTTTGGACAAGGGTTGCGCGCGAGAGCTTAGCAAATCGACTGTGCAATCAAGGATGGTTCATGCTGGTGCTTTGGCCCTGGAGTGCTCTGCTGTCATGTGCAGCTCTGCCCTGTCTTCTGTGATAGATGCCTGCAGCAAAGTGCCAAATATGAAACCGCTTTTATTCCTGTGGCGGGTTCGTTATGACGAAACCCCTAGCCGGGTCCGCGTGGCGAACTTGGCAGAGCCAGCAGGGGTACCTTTACCGCAATGGGTGGCACTGTTTTGTGTTTTTTCGCATATCGATTGCGAAACTGTTAAACCGAGTCAAGCAGGGCACCTTATGAAAAGTCACATAGGTCTAATCAGACTCAGCCCATTCCAAACCCATGAAGCTCAACAGCTCAAGGGGATCCAGGGTACTTGATGTTTTCTGAATGGCGAATCAATGGGTTGGGCCGGGTTGATTGCTTATTTTGATACCGGGTGTTAGTTGGGTGTGGCTTGTGGGCTTTGCGAGAGATCCTGTGTACCAGAGGTCGCTGTTGACTCGAGTTCGGCAGATGCTGCCGGGTCTGCAGAGCAAGCTCAGTACGGCCAGTGTATTGTGCTCCCAGTTACCTGCAAAACACCGTTGTCCATTGAGACTTTTCTTTCCTCACTTGGGATTGCAGCCTCGCCAGAATCTGTGACGCATGCAAAAGTGTTGCAGACAGAGGTGGAAGTGATGCTGGTCTACGGTCTCGAGCGGTCTGGCATTGTCCAGGGAGATCCCGCTTCGAGAGGCGCGGCGGCGACATGCATCACGTGCAGGATTCCCACGTGTCTTCAGGCCGTGGATAGAACCACGGCTTGCAATCAACGTGCTTGTATCTTCGAGACGTTGAACCAGCTGCCCGAGTGGTCCAGGCTTGCCAGCATCTTCAAAATGAAGTGCCGGCAGACAACCTGCGACAGGTATTCGGCAAACCGCTTGACTGAGGACAGTCTTATGTGTGACGGCTACCGTATGCATGACTGGATGCTGCTGTGTCTGCCGTGCGACACTCACAAGGCAGCAACATGCATCAAATCGGTGCTGTCACAGTCCGAAGTCGATATAAGCGGGCTGATCAACACTGCGTTGACGTTGTCGGACCACCCAGGCGTTTTGAAGACCTTGAGGGACATCTTGACTCGCCTCTTCTTCAACGAGTTGCAGGTCGACTTTGCCGAGCCGCCAGACGATTTGGAGACCCGTAGATTCAGGTCCGACCTCTTCGACATGTATTTGCCTCTGGTGGGGCGATGGGCTCGTGCAAATGCAAAGCGAAGGTACATTCTCAGCAATATGCTGAACAGCAAGCTTCAGGAACCGGAGCTCCGTCATCACTGCAGCCTCGGTGCGCGATGCTGCGGGGGAGACAGGCAACAGACCGCATCTACCTTTGCGATGTTCGTGGTGTGGGCATTGTGCCCTTGCCAGATGCCAGTGTTGTGCAGGAAAAACTGGTTAAATCAAGTCGAGTCCATGCAGTGGGTGGCACTTTTCCAGGGCCACCATGGCCTGTTTTCTCGGGTCATGCAGCTGTATCTGGGAAGCCCAAGTGCAGAGCCTCCTGTTTCAGGTAGACCGTCGCAGGCAGCAACAGTTGCTGTCGCAGCCCGTGCGGCCACGGATGATGACGATGATTTGTTCGCTTCATGGGGAGCCGCACTTGACTTGGAGTTGCAGGAGGTTAGCCCAGGTGAGCAACAGCAAGCAGCAGCAGCAGCCGCAGCGAGTACCGCCGCCGGTGTCAGGGATGACGACAACAACCCTGCTGAACCTGCTCAGCCAGCTGATGCCGCCAAAGACGAACATGAGGCCTGGTTGGAGATGAAGAGAAAGCGCCGGCAGACCGCCCAAGCATTTGCTCTGTCAGATCCGCTTCCTAGGCTGTCTGTAATGCACGAGGCCACGAGCCCTCTGCAAAAATTGACCACTGTTTTTCTGCAACTGAGCAGCTACAAGTGGGAGCGCAAACAAGCTGCGCTCCAGGCATCTGGCTTGCCGAGGTCTTTTATGCTTCTGGAAGCTGCTCGTGGAAATGATGTGGACTTTGCATTCAAAGAGTTGTTGCAGATACTTTGGTCAGACCCAAAGGCAACTGTTGCAGAGAGGTGTGTCTGCTCGCTTCGCCTTCTAAGATTTGCCATGGTCGGTTCAGGGCTTTGCTCTCTGCATTCCCTTTTGAGACGAGCACGCAGCAGCTTGCCGTACCAAGCCTTCCACTTGGTGGCCGAGGACTTAGATGAAGGAGAGCTTCAAAGACACGCAGAGGAACTTGCGAACACACCGCCTTGCTTGAGAGATGAATTTTGCTCTGCTTTCCTGAAGATGTTCCCATCACCTGCAGAGCTCTGCGGTGATGAAGCCCGGGCGATATTGCAGTCCATCGCTGCTGTCGCTGTGACTGACATAGCAAGTATTGAAACATCTCATAGCACGACGAGGGAGTTTGCAGCTCTCCGTGCCCGCGGCTGGACTGCCTCCCTAGAGGAGGTTGCTTCTCGCTTCGTGCTTTTGCAGTTGAAGAGAGCGGCCGGAGAGACTCATCGTGCCCACGACCGGGTTCAGCATCGTGGTCGCAAAAGCAGCAGCAAAGGCAGTCAGAAGAAGGAGCGTGCTTGTTTTGCTTGGAATGCTTTCCAGCATGATCGTTTGGAGCCTGGCAGGCCTTTCACTGGGCATGATATCAGCCAGCTGGCGCATGAGTGGCGAACCATGAGCCAGGATGACAAGCAGAAGTATTTTGATGCAGCTGCTGGTGCCAACATTGCCCGGCAACATGGCTTTTCAAAGTTTGGGCGCAAACCCGCCAGCAAGCCTGCCAAGCAGCTACCGTGGAACAGGGGCATGCTTGCTGGCCCCAGCAGCTCCAAGCCCATGCTGCTCCCAGGAGATGAAACATCGGACGGTGCCATCGTTGGACAGGATGCCGAGCTGGACTTCGCTCTGGCTGAGAACACCCAAGCAGTTGAGCACTTGCGGGATTCTTTTGCAGAAAGGTATGCAACATTTGTCGCTGAGCAACCCAAAGTCCAAGATCCTTTAGACCTTACTCCAGACGAGGAGCAGCAACTGAGCACATTCTGCGACAACCTCGGTGCAGATGCTGCTGATGCTGCATCGCTCGTCAAAGCTTGTCAGGCATCCGACCCTGCACTGCTGCAAGGCCTGACGGCCCATCCTGTTTCTCCTCTGATTCGGCGTGCAGTGTGGACTCCTCCTGCTGGCAAGGCTGTGGAGGTTGGTCAGGGAACTCTTTTGCTTGCAGGGCTTTGAAAGGATCAATTTCCTGGGATGGGCGGGTCGGTGTCAAGGCAATATTAGCAATATTTGCGTGTCCCGAGGCCCTATATATATATGTGTGGTGTCGTATAGCTGTATAGCTGTGGCCACTGGCTACTGATAGTGAGGCTAGCGGCTAGCGGCGACTACTATCACACACGTAGAAAACCGTATATACCTTTTTATTGTATATGTATATATATATATATATAAAGAAATACAGACACACGCACACAAGTACACGTACACGGACGTACATGTTTCCTCTAGTACATGCTGTCTCGAGAGGTGAGTGTCTTTGTAGTCTGTGTAGTTTGAGCCCGTGACAACGCATCCCATTCTCAACTTCTGCTTGGCAGTGTTTCTCTGGTCTTTGGCTTTGGTGCGAGTCAACAAGAATCTTCACAGTCTCAACATCGTACAAGAGTGTCAAATATATATACATATATATGCAAACTTGTTCTCCTAACGCCGTTCCTATGGAAAATTTGCTTGGTGTTGGCTTGGGGGTGGGACAAGGTGACAAGGCGAGTTTATCGGTATCTAGAATCTAAAGTCTAGCGACTTCTATGCCTTTTATGCATTCGGTGCCAGCAGTATGTTTGTGTGTTTGTGTGTGCGCATGATTCTTTCGAGCCAGGTCCTGCTGGCTTGTCGGGTTCAAGTTGCAGTATGCTTTGGAAGTTCAAAGTTCTATGAAGCAACAACAAACCCCGCAAGCTCAGTGTTTCAGGATTCTCGACCATCGTCGTCCCTTTGCAAAGTTTTCCTTGGCGTACCGAGGTGAAGTCGTGGGCCGGTGTCGTAGTGGTGGTGGTGTGGTTGTCATGGGGATGGTGATGACGTTGCCGGTGGTGATGGTCTGGCGGCCTGGTGGGTGTTGTTGTTTCTTTTGTGACTCTTCTGTGATGATGTTTGGTGGAGGTGATTGATGAAAACGGTTGGGCTATGATTAGTCGGTTAGTCGGTTAGTTAGTTATTAGTTAAAGGTCATTTAGTATGATGCTGGCCTCAGGTGGGGCGGTTGTGGTGATGTGGCATACCCGGCATACCCATATGCTCCACTTGTTAACGTGTTACTGTTACACTTGTTACGCATGACACATCACACACAGTACACTGTACACATCAACACACACACACAGAGTTGCAGGCTCTGCTGGCCGACGAGACTTTTGCGAAACGCCGGCAGTTTGGTTTGTTGGGTCGCACATCTCGAAGCTGGAGCAAGCGCTGCAGTGTTCATATCCATGCGAAGCAGAAGCCGATACTGAAAGAAGACTTGGCCAATCGGTTTCGTGCAGACATCTGCTTTTCTCTGGGTATTTGTGTGTGCGGCCGCAGGAAGGGCTCCAAGCCAGATCTTTGGTTTTTCTTGCAGAATCTTCTGCCCTGGCTCCGCAAGACGCTGCGGAAAGGCAAGCAAGACATGCCCAAGGCTCGAGAGCTGATGCAAGAGAAAACACTTGTGTTTGGTTTCTATTCTGCACCTGCTCGGGATGTGGATGGAGGTGAGGAGGAGCCAGATCTTCCAGAAGAAGGCGGCCCGGCTCCGGCTGTTTTCTTGTATCCCGCCCACATGAACTACTCAAGTTTTCATTTCACATGTCTGCAACTTTTCGACGATTTGGACGACAAGCTGAAGATTCCTGCAGCAGACATGCCGCAAATTCCTGGTGTTCTCCAGCTGGGTGTGCAAGGTGTGGCTGAAACAGACCAGTCGTTCGGAGTATTGACTGACATCGAGTTTGTAAGCAAGAACCTTGACTTGACTCATGCGTGGCAGCTCCGGATCTTCAGTATTTCGTTGCAGGAGTCTCATTGGCAGACCTTTGATGCTTCCTCCTGCGTGGTACCTGTGGTAGATGCTTGTGAACTTGCTGAAGTTGACCCCGTCTGGGTGTGGCATGGCTCCGATTACGAGCTTGCTCGGCGTCGGCAGAAGAAGCCTACGGCTGCTGCAGGTGGCAAGAAGCGAGATGCGACTGTTGAACTGAAGCCTCCGCTGTTGAGGGTGCGGGGCAAGAAGGCAGCTGCCAACCAGCCGATTGCCAAGCGTGCCAAGACTGCTGAGACTTCAGCATCTGCTGCTCCAGATGGTCCTGAAGCTGAGCAGGCGGCAGCCAGTTCGTCCGCTGCAGTAGCTATGCCTCTTGCCAGTGTCGTGCCTGCTGATCAAGATGCTCTGGCTCTGCTGGAGTTCGGCCCCATCAGCCATGCAGGCCTCTATGATGATGTTGTGGGGCCGAAATCTGATGCTGATGCAGCCAGTCAGTCTGCAGCTTCGCTCGATGAGGACGAGGGCTACGGAGTCGGGGAGGTTATTTGGACAGATGATGAAGCCGAGAAAGCCTCTCTGGACCCAGAACAGGAGCAGGGAGAGGAAGTGGAAGCTGAAGATCAATTTGCAAGTTTGTTCGATGATTTACTTGTGTCCTCAAGCGCAGCTGCCATGGGTGCAGCGGCTGGGGCCGAGCTGGATGCAGTGGCTGGGGCTGCGATGGATGCAGCTGGGGCCGAGATGCATGCAACTGGAGATGCCCCGGCCGAGGTTCATCGTGAACGAGGGCCTGGTCCAGGTCCACAGGCTGGCAGACGACTTGATCTTCGGAAGACAGAGATCAAGATACCCCATTTGGGCAAGATCGTGCATGTGCAAGAGGATAATGTCCTCATCGCCTTCTGCGGCAACCCCAACCACGATGACTGCAAGCTCACTCGTACTCTGAATGCAGGTGAGAACTTCAGTTCCCTCAGAAGCACGGTCGCTGGCAGAGGTCGGCCGATTGGCCGATTGATGGCCTGGCTCCGACAGCAGTTTGATCACAAAACCAAGTCTGACCATGTTCACTGCAAAATCACACGCGAGATGAGGCTGCAAGGTCGAGCGGACTTTGCAGATCTTCCCAATGCGCAAGCCTTTTTTGCGTTGGAAAGGCCACTCCGGGAAGATGAACCAGAAGAGCCGTTGGCCATCTTGTAGCTGCTAGCTGCTAGCTGGAGATGCTGTGCTCAGGATAGAAGCTACAATCCGATATCTTGGAATGCTATAACCCTGGGACCTAGTGACCAATCTATCTAGTGCCGGTTGTTGCTGAAGCATGCATAGTTTACAGATTCTATATATGAGAGATTCTTAGAGAGTATTGTGTTGGTATTGGTGTTCTCCCGAACAACCCGAACACTTTCTCGATTCTCGATTCTAGCAATACGTCTAGAGACGTGTATATAGATATTACTTACTAATTATACTAATAATTACTATGAGTCTAGTTGTCATATTTACTGTAGAAGATTTGCTTGATGAGAGGGTCTGAGCAGATAATGATATGCAAGAGCCAGCAGTCCAGCAGTTCAGCTTGCATTGTTTCACAGGCAGCGAGAACGTTGCTCCAGATTCCAAAATCGCCTTGGACAGAAGACTTCCCTTCCTGCAGCTTTACCCGAAAGTATCCCAAGTTTGTTTCTCCCACCTTTAGACTTTAGGCCCTTTAGGCAGTTGCTGGCTCGCGCAGGTGCTACATGGTCTTCTTCCGCAAGGACAAGTTCAGCAGGGAGCACGTGTCGATGTATAAGCGTTCTGTTGAGGCTTGCGGGTCGGTTAGAGTGCTGAGCTGCTTCAGTTTGATCATGCGTGTAGTGTGCCTGTGCCGAACACCTTTAAAGTTGGGGCAGGCCTTGGTCGAGGCCGTGGGCAAGCGGCACACACCAAGGCTGCTGACATCGTTCCTCTTGCAGGAATCGAGCCCATTGTACAAGGAGCAGGAGGCGAGCCTGCAAGCGCAGCACTATGTCAGGTGCCAATCCAAGGTCCGAAGCGGCAAGGAGTCTTGCCGACAATCTGGTGTGTTGGTGTACTTACTGTTGTATTGCTTGCTTCTATGTGATTGAAGAATCGAGTCCAACTCATGACACCATGTGCTTGTGCAACTATGTTTGTTCCCTTGCAGGGTCCTGAGTGGAGGGCAGCCGGTGTTAGAGATGAAACCCATCGTGAGTCCGTGAGCTGAAGGTGACCTGGGTTTGGGACGGCAAAGGGAGGAGGCAGTAAGGTGGGCAGGATGGTGGTGGGCTGGGGGTGGTTTTCTTTTGTTGGGGGGGTCGGAATTGGGACTCAAAGACGGGGCCATTGGTCACTCGCAAAGGCCCGTTTGGGGGGGTGTCCCGGGTGCCGGGGGAGTGGGGGGGGGGGCCCCCAAATGGGATGGGGGGGGGGGGTCCGGCGGAGGGGCCAGGGCACGGGAGGGCCGGGAGCTGTTTTTTTGCAAAACACACTGTGTTTTTGCAAAAATTTTGCAAAATTTTTGCAAAAATTTTGCAAAAATTTTGCAAAAATATTGCAAAAATTTTGCAAAAATTTTGCACAGAGTTTTGCATTTGGGCAGGGGGGGGTCCAGCAGGGTTGCGAAAATTTTGCATTTGGGAAGGGGGTCCCGCCGGTCCCGCACGGTTGCGAACATTTTGCATTTGGGCAGGGGGGGGGCCAGCAGGGTTGCAAACATATTGGATTCCCAGGCTTCTTCAGTCAGACATAGGCCACATGCCCAAGCACACTACAGTTGTGTATTATTCGTTGTGATTGGTCATGTTGAGTGCTGCAGAAGTCAGAAGTGCAACATTCAGCCAGTGCTCCAGCCGAATCTACCCATGCCATACCCATCAGGAGAACTCGCTGAGCTGTTGGCAACAATGGCAAGTTCAGGCTTGCCAGATTCGACGACAGCTGGCGGTGAGCCAGAATTGGAAACCCTGGACGAGCATGCGGGGCTTGAGGTTCAGCAATGTGTTGCCGAACAAGAGAGTTGGAGAGCTGCTGGATTTGGCTGTGATTCGGTATGTTGGGGCACAGCAGCTACATGCTTTTGAGAGCACAGAAGTCCGCAGTGCTTGCAAGGAGCTGTTTACAGACACGTCCCAGAACCCTAACCGCTTCCCACACACGTCGAAAGAGGGTGTTGCTCGCTGCCTGACAAGCAGCTCTGTTCTGTATTCGCACCATGCGGATCGGCTCGTGCTCCCACTCGAGCACATGCTTTGGCAGGGGCATGAGGTGGAGCTGAAGATTCCCGAAAGAATGTCTCAGAGATGTTTGCGTGATGTAGCGGGCCAAGGAATGCATTTGCCATGCTTGGCCTCCTTGATTGCTGTGCTGCAATACAGTGGCAGCTTTGAGATTCACCTTGGTGCGTGATTGGACAGGCAGAGTGTTTTTCACAGTAGTTTGTTCAGCAGGGGGTTTAGTGTAGGCCCAGACCAGGTTTAGGTTGAGGTTTAGATTCTAGAATCAGATGTACTGCTCGAAGTTTGAAGTAAAGCTTAAGGCTTAAGCGGCTAAAGACTTCAGGTAGTTGAAACTGTGGGGCAGTGGATGAAGATTCGGCCAATGTGTCAGTCTTTGTTGGTTCTAGATTCTAGATTCTAGAGGATTGTAGGAGTTGTGGCCTAGCGACCTCCTGCTGTTCTCGCTGGCACATGCCATATGGCTGAGTGCGAGTTCCGTAGATATAGAAAACAAGGGATTTCACAAAGTACAGTTCACTGTCATTGCCTCGTGGATTGTGTGACAGAGGGCTTCCGAACTTCTTGCAATAATTTGTTGTTAGAACTGTGTGCAGGTTGCGTACCTTTCAAGCCGTTGTTTTCGTTGCCACAGTCTTCATGTTGTTTCCGTGTCCAAGCCATAATCCTGCTGGTATCTTGTATCGTATTTCAGACCCGTGCCTGTGTTGTACTGATGACACACTGACACCCGAGCCACATCACCAAGTACCCCATTATCCCTAGCCGCTAGCAGCTAGCAACCCCAGCCCCAACCTCTACGCAACTCTACCAGTCTAGCACCACTGTCACCACACAGCCACACCACTATCACCATCACTGCAGAAGCACAGGACGAGCCCTCGCCAGCTGCCACCATGACTAGCACCTTCTAACACAAAGGCCACTTCTCTATCACCACAGCATCACCACCAACACCGCCCACCTGACCCTTCACCCCTATGCCCGATGAGTTGTGCCTAGACTTCTCTTCAGAAGTGGCCTGGCTCTGCCACTAACCAACTTGTAGGCCGAAGGCAGCTTCAGGACAATGGGCTAGAAAGTAAACGTTTTGTTCTGGCCTGACTAAAATGATTACAAGCCAAAAAGCACACTGAGCTCACATGCTCAAGTGGAGACACTGTGCAATCCACATGGGCAATGCTTCGGAGAAGTGCCGCGAGCCTTGCAATATTTCATATTGGCAAAGCTCCTGGTAGAGTTTTTTCTTCACATAGTGGTATCCTGGTATAGCTGGTCATGCACTTCTGTGGCCACTCGAGACCGGGTCGAAGCAGTTGAGTATTGTTTTACATACAACATCATCAGCAGGTTGATTTCCACTTTTGTCACCGGACTTATGCAAAGATTCAGTGCGGAGGCCGCAGGTGAGTGGCATGTGACCTGGGCAGTTGTTGGATTGTTGGGGTTAGAGTTAGAGACAGTTAGAGGGTGGTTGTATTGGTCCGAGAATAGGGAGCATTGTGAGGTGTGTGTGATACATACAGTATCAAGCTATCGAACTGTAATCTGCTTGAACAGTATCGATCCAAAATACTTGACCATCTAGTTGTGATATGCTGGGTTCAAAGGACCTGTGTGGTTCATCGTGCAACTGCCCGTGGAAATTCCTCACCAAATTATGGCTGAGAGTTTGCCATAATTTGTTGCCAAGCTGGCTAAGCAATGGCCACACGGCAGCATCTGTGTCTTGGAAGGCTTGAGCAGTGTGTGCAAAACCCAGGACCTCGTGTGAGTCCTCACGAGCTTCATAGCCGCATAGCCTTGCTGAGTGAGATAGCAGTACCGGTACCGCCATTGTTCCGGCCATGACAGTCTCTGTGCGTGTGTGAGTGTGTGTGTGTGTGTGTTTGTGTGCCGGTGTGTTTCTGGGCATGCATGTGTGGGCACGTTCGTGTGAAAGTCAGAGATAGAAAGATGGTGCCTGTGTGTGTGTGGGAGTTTGTGACAATCATGTGCTGCTGACACCCTTTGATCCAGACCGGGTGCAAAGCACGTGAGAGTAGCTGGCTAACGTTAGCCAAGCCCAAGCCTGTAGTGGCTCGGGAGTCGTGTCTGCAAAGACATGGGAAAGAAGCGCGGCCAGGCCGTCTCAGCTGTTAATGAATGCTGCTGTCATTGTAAAAGTAGTGGTTCCACTGGAGCTGCGACAGCTGACAGCCTGCCAGGACGAGGACGAGAGGGCTGTGGTTCCGGCCGCCAAAGGGGCTGCCAAAGCAGCAGCAGCACCGTCCACGAGGTTTGGCCGGAAGAAGGCCGTGTCGGAGTACGTGTGTGGCTTCTGCGGTTGCAGATACGGCGAGGCCGGCTTGAGCAGGGTTTGGCGGCTTTTTCTGGGCCTGAGTCTGGAGATGTTCTGTGGTGTGGGTGCAGGTGCAGGATAATCTGCAAGCATGTACAAGTGGTCCAGGGGGTTTGGGAAGATGATACACCGGAGCCACAGGTGTTGCAGCATGTTGCAGCTGTGTACGAGAGTGTGGGACAAACTGTGCCATGCACCTGAGGTCTGTTTCGGACAGAGAAGTGTGATCGAATTTTCGGTAGATTGAATATTCTCGGGTGCATGGGCTCTAGACCCTATAGGTAGGTGCTAAGTCTGTTCGGCATTGTGCAGCATCAGAGTATCAGCCCACAATTATGCATGCAGCATCAGAGTATCAGCCACAAAGCCGAGCCCCACCCCATGAAAACTGCCACAGGTGGACGAATGGGGCTCTACTCCGACGGCCTGCTTTGCGTGCGAGGACAGAGCTTTGGTGCTGAGGCCAGGTGAGACGGTGGTCGTGTTGCTCCACCTGTTCACTCATCCAAATGAAGACGGAGGTGTCTTCAAAGGCGAGTTCGACGAAGCGACTGAGGGTGACAGCAGCTTCCAGCCGAAGAGCACGGTGGCAACAAAGGAAGTGTACGGATACCAGATCTTTCAAGACTATGCCGTGTTGACAGACAATGAACTGGGGCCACTGTTGGGGTCCCTGCCAACCAAGCCCGGGTCCTTGCCTGGCAAAAAAAAGAAGAAGGATGTGGTAGTGCCGTGGCTCGGACCGGACTCGAGCTGCCACTACAACTTGGTCGATCTTAGCGAACTCAGCTACGAGTCCACTATAGGTTTGAGAAAGGCCCGGCTGTTCTTCGAAAGCAGCTCCGAGCGCAGCAAGATCTTTCTCAGGCCGGAGACACAGCTTGTGGAGAGCCAAGGTGACCATGTGTTCAAGCATGTTGCGGAGAGCTGCATCGCTGCTCGACCTGCTGGTCTTACACCTTCGGCAGCCCGGCCCAAAACCGTGAAAGAGCTGAAGAACGACATCGCGCAGATGGAGCTTGACTTGGTGGGATCCGGCAAGACCGAGGAGCAGGACAAGGACGATGATGAGCCGATGGAGCCTGAGGCTGACCCGGGCAGCCTCAGGACAGGCAAGAAGCGGCAGGCGGGCATCGGCTTTGTAGCTCCTGTTCCCAAGAAGGCCTCCAAGAACAAAGGTGGAGGCAAAGGCGCCAAATCCGCGAACCCTTCGACCGATCCAGTTGTTGCTGCCTTTTCACCGAGTGCCCCGTCACAGCCAGCTCCGGCTGGGCTGTCTGCGGCGGCTGCCTGTAAGTTGGAGACCCAATCGCAGTCCACAGCAGGCAACGGCAAAGCCAAGAATAGTTTGGCGAAGTTCGAGGGCGACGAGGACATGAAGGCGGTGGCCGCCTACCAGTTGAGCAGCAACTCCCACGCACCCTTGAAGTCGCTTGAGGGCTTGGTGGCCGTGGACTTCGTGCTTGGAGAAAAGGAGCAGAAGACCATGAACAACATCCTGAACGGTGTCCCTTGCCTTACTCAGGACTTAGTCGTGGTCGTGGTGCCATTGTGTGACTGCTACTAGCAAACAGCTACTAGCAAGGATACGTTGCTGGTGATGAAGTCTTCATGATACTGGCCCTGACCATGTTGTAAACTATCAAGCAGTGTTTTTGATGCAGATGGTGCTGTTTTAATTTGTTACAGTAGTATCTGGTGACTCGTAGCCATGGACGTGCTAGTCCTGACTGGGGATATATGATTGAATGATGGTCGAGGGCCTGAGTCTTTCAGACTTCCAAAGCCTTCCTGCAGACTGGGATACTTTACTGAAGGACCTAGTTGAAGATGTTGACTTCATATACAAATAATACAAAATCGATTTCCAAGACAGGGTATTGCAGTAATAGTGAAATAGTGATTACAGTGATGGTTCACAAAAACTTCAGCAGCAACAATCATAGTAATGCTTCTTCTGGTATTAGCTTAGCTACTGGTAGTTTTACTTCTAGCTTACTACTACCAATACCAAGACCGTCGCTACCACTTTGTCATTCTCAGAAAAAACAATTAGGACACGACTATCGCCCAAATAAGACCGGTACGACTACCGGCTACCGCTATACTGACACTACTGCCAGCAGTGTAGCACTAGCACGAGCTCGGCCCCCACCCCCACCACCACCACCACCACCACCACCACCACCACCACCACCACCACCACCACCACCACCGCCACCGCCGCCACCACCACCACCACCACCACCACCACCACCACCACCACCACCACCACCACCACCACCACCACCACCACCACCACCACCACCACCACCACCACCACCACCACCACCACCACCACCACCACCACCACCACCACCGCCACAGGTCGCACCCGAAAAGGGAAATCGTAAAGCGGTTCCCCGCCCCCGTCCTGGGATGGGGGTGGCAACCGGGGCGCGACCACCACCACCACCAGCACCACCACCACCACCACCACCACCACCACCACCACCACCACCACCACCACCACCACCACCACCACCACCACCACCACCGCCACAGGTCGCACCCGAAAAGGGAAATCGTAAAGCGGTTCCCCGCCCCCGTCCTCGGATGGGGGTGGCAACCGGGGTGCGACCACCACCACCACCACCACCACCACCACCACCACCACTACCACCACTACCAGCACCACCACTACCACGGCTGCCTCAGCTGCTTCTCTGCTACTGCCACCATGTACATGTCAGCTTGTGCTATCAGCACTAGCGCACTAGCGGCTAGCACTATCAGTATCATCAGTAGGACGATGACTGCATTGCATCAACAATGCCTTGCCACTACTATTACTTCTAGGACTACAGTGAGATTACAGTATTGAATATTCATAGTCTTCATCGAAACACAATGTCTATACATCGTGCCACCGTGCCCATTTGTGAAGGGTGTGGTTGTGCTGCCTGTGTGCACAAGTTAGAATATCTCAACCTGACAATGCCGGTTTCATCCGCTGTTTGAAACAACTTTATTCACACATATGTACATTGTATGTATACTAGTATAGACATTATGTATCTAGGTCTATATGTGTATGTATGTATACTGTATATTGCTGCATGAAGTTCTTTCTTGAAAGACACCAGCGCAAGCGCATGTCGGATTATGGTGGGGCGGTGTGAAAAGCTTACCTGGTGATTCGTTCGTGGGCCTCATGTTCACCTCTAGTTCGTGACGGGTGATTGTTTTTGTTCCCCTTGTCCTTGTGTGGCTTCTGAGAGTCGGTTTTGTTTGTCATGTCACATGTCTGACTCAGAACATGTGTTCAGTGTGTGCGAAGTCTCGGCCAACAACTTATTTCTGAGTCATGCTCATGCTCTGTTTGGATGGCAAGCAGAGGCAAGATGATGGTTTCGGTTTCAGTCGAAGCCATATGTGTGCGAAATGCTTGAGTGTTCATTCATGTTGACTTTGCAGACCGACCTCGCATGTTCAGGCAAAAAAGATCATGGAAACCTTGGAGAAGAAAGGTCAGCAACATGAGCTGAATTTGCTAGACGCCAGGGTGGAGCTCTGTGAGCATGCCTTCGGCTTGGCCTACAGCAATTTGTCAATGATGAAACAGTCTTTGATGCAAGCTCATGTCATGAAGACGAAGAAGCTGTGGGCAAACTATCCAGTGTCTTTGCAATTGGGAATCTTGACCAGGCATGCGCAGCATTCGCTGGAGCAGATGGTGCTGAGTAAGAAGAAGGATTCCGAGAGCTGGAAAGAGCCAGCCCAGGAGTTTGTCACCTTCTTCTCTTTCGACGTCGCCGAGATGCTCACAGCGGACCCCAGCAGCTGCGAGACCTCCTTTCAGGGCCATGCCCCCACATGGCAGACGGGCCTCATGAAGATGATCTTGGCCGCAGGTGAGCTTGCAGAGGACAGCTTGTGCAGCATCAAGCTTGATGACGAGGATGGTGCCATGACCGCCGAAGCTGCCCAGGTGAAGACCGCAGAGCTGCAGAGCATTGCTACGGACTGTTGCACTGTTGTGCTTGAGTTTTTTCAGTGTTTTGGCGAGCCTTGCGTAACATTTGTATCTGAGCGTCAGTGCGGGTGTACCAAACACCTTTCTGATTGCAGAGCAAGGAAGTATATGTCAGTGGAGGAATGTATGCATGTATGTATGTCGGCAAGCGTGAAGGTCTGGGAACTCCTTGGATTCATGATTAGTCACTTAGTGCAAGTACTACACCACTACTGAGTACTGCTGTTATGTTCTACCAAGTTACTGCTTACTTCTCTTGATGACACTCTATGTCCAATGTAAAGTCGTTCTTAACCCTAGGCCCCTAGGCCCTAGAGCCCTAGAGGCCCTGGAGATCACACTCGAAAAGGGTGGCTTCTTGATTGTAATGCCCGTCAACGTGAAGAAAACAATTCTGATATGGAGTTGGGTAGTAGGGTGGTGTGGATAGTGACTAGTGACTAGTGACTAGTGGTTAGTGAGTGAAAGCTTCAACAAACTTCTCTTGTCCCTGCTACTCATCAGGCACGCTTCAATCTTAGGACTGTAAATGAAACGAATGAAAACATTGGAGACACAACCTCGGGGCTAGCGGCTACGAGCATTCCCAGCCAGTGAATGCTTGCATGGATTTTGTGGTCTGTCGTTTGGTCTATACAAGTCAGTGTAAGTGTAAGCTGTTGGAAGCCATGGAAGCAGCTGTGATTGATCATGTCATTCCGTGGATGTTGGCTATGAGCAGGTAATGAACTCCTAAGCCCAACAGAAATCGTCCATGATCATCAGTCGTCCCTGGTTTACCCGAGTGTAGTGTAGTGAAGTGTAGTGAGTGTAGTGAACCGCATTCTGGTTGTGGGGCTGCCTTGCAAGAAACACTGCACATTGTGTGCTGAGCTATTGCAAGCAATCTTGGTTCCCGCGGTATGTAGAATGTAGAACTTGCCACACCTTCCCACGAGGCGGTAGCTGTTTGTCTGTTGCTTCTCTGACCCAGGCATTGGTATCAGGTGCAGTATAGGTACACTTGTGTTGTCAATTTAGCAGCTACAGAGTGGTTTGTAAGCACAGATTCAAAACCTGGAGAACAGGACTTTGCAAACAAGCTCCGGGGCCTGTTCACCCACTCGTCGTGGAGCGAGCTGCTCAACTTGCAAGAGAAGGCCACCGATGTGCACATCTACGTTTGCAAACACCTCTACAAGCACATCGATGCTATGTCAAGTTTGTTTACGTCGTGGATTGACACCCCACTCGTTCCCATTGCGGAGGCTTTTGAGCAGGTTCTTGCCATGGCCAAGGCGATCCTGCACATGCATGCTTGGGACCCTGCGTCGGAAGCAGACACCGACAGCCTGAAACCGACAGTGCCAAGTGATGTGTTCGACTTCCTCAGGTGCGACAAGCAGTTCGAGCGCAGCCTCAGCAAGACCTTGCAAGATGGTTCGTGGAAGGCTGCGATCGCAGACATCGCCAAAACGGCGGGCTCGCGTCCTTTGGTGCAGGCTCAGTGGCGAGAGCTGAACGACCTGCTTGAGGAGATGACTCCGGAGGGGGCCACCGCCCAGCATCTCTCACGCATCGCCGAGCTGTTTGAGACGGTGAGCAAGGGCATGCGTGAGAGGGAGATGCACCACGTCTCAAGCAAGTGTAAGGACTTGGTGGTCGGTGTTGCTCGGCATCTCATGCAAAGCCAGCCTGTTGCGGTGGACATGAGCCAGCTGTCCAAGCAGGCCGATGTGGTGACGTCCTTGCTGCGAAGATTCGGTCAGGAGCCGGAAATCCCAACACTCCTCGATGACTTTGCTGCCTGGCTGCAGGGCAGTGCCTCGCAGCGACAGCTGTCGACGTTGATCAGTGCCATGGAGGAGTGTGCCCGTGGCAGCATTGACTTCAAGAACATCAAGCAGCTGGTGCCAGGTGTGGGCAAGGACCAGTCATACACCGTGCCAGCGGACCAGGCGGCCAAGTTTCGCCAGGCAGCTTGCAATTTCATCTTCAAGAGCCTGCTGACGGTGTCCGACCAGGCTAATGACGGCTAAAATATAAGTAGAAGCATGCTTGATGATTCTTGCCATCAGAGTCTTTAAAGGTCAGGAGCCGCCTGGATTTCGCAGCGGCAGCTAGTCTAGACTCTAGACTCTAGACTAGAGTGACTAGAGTAGGCTGAAGAAGTAGTTTGCTTTTGCTGGTTATTTACTATTGACAGTTCTTGACATGTTATGACATCTATTTCTGTGCCAGGTGAACAGCCCGGCAGCGGATGACGCTGCGTGCACCCAGCGTGCTGCCGATGTCCGGCTGAACCTTGCTATCGTGAACGCTGTCGCCAAGCTTGTGAAGGACTTCATCAGTGAAAGCGGCCCTGCCCGGGATGCTTTCAATGCCTACATAAATGCGTGCATCAGCCTGTCTTTGGCAGCGGTTTTCCATGCCAAGGAGATCAACCTTTTGGAGAATCTCGGGCCAGATGCCGAGACCCGCAACACCGAGGATGTGAATGCCAAGAGGCTGCGCCAGACAAAATCTGCCAAGATGAAGTGTGAGGCTTCAGAGACGACTTGTGTGGCAGCCCAGTCGAAGTTGCAGCCCTTGGTGGAGGCCGAGGATGGCAGCTCCCTACACGACCTGGTTACCTTCAAGCTTGGGGAGTATTTCCACTACTGCAACCACGAGGTGTACAAGGATTGTGTGTTGCATTTGTTGTCAGTGTCGGAACGAGACTTGGCAGTGTTGTCGAGCTCAGTGCTCGACAAGTGCCGTGACCGTCACGAGGGCGGCAAGGAGTGGTGGAGGCGAGACTTGCCAAAGGATGCGGGCGTGAATGATGTGCTTCAGGTCGCAGCCGTCAACATCAAGGGCATTGATGGAAACCTGTTAAAGAAGGATCTCGAGACCGTGGCCAAGGACCTACTTGGGGTTGTCAGCGAGTTTGGAGGGCTTGTCGGCTAGTTAGTTGCCAGTGTAGGGCAGCTTAGGGCCTGGTGTGGATCTGGCTTACAAAAGCTCTGAAGGTGTGTTTGTGGTGTTTGGGTTTTTCGGGCTTTGCTTCCTCAGCTGATCGCTCCATGTTGAAGTTGAAGCGCAGGACATCGATAAGCTGCTAGCAGACATCAAGTTCTTTGATGATGGCGAGTGTCCGGACATCAAGAAGAAGGCTGACAAAGTGGCGGAAGCCGTGAACGAGTTGTGTGCCAATGGCTTGAGACAGGCCAAAGCCTTGACAATGGAGGTGATGCTGGTCTTGGTCTTGGGGCGGGTCCAGAAGGAGGCCAATGATGTCAACAAGGAGACAGTCCGCAGCCTCGTCACCCATTACAATGTGCAGTTCGCGAGCAACTGCTTTGGGGTGACTGCTGATGATTTGCACCCGAAGATGTGGCAAGAAGCGATTGCTCTGTGAGTTGCCGTGTAAGCTTCCGAAACCTGCTCTATGCTCTATGCTTGCCAGAGCCCATAGACCCTAGGCCATCGGCCATAGGCTCCAGCTTAGGGCAGGGCTGTGAAGTATTTCTTTCAACTCTCCTGTTTGCGCTGTGGGTGGGATCGAAACGGTCCCGTGCTAGACACTCTTTTAAGCAGCTTTTCAGCAGCAGAGGCGTCCCTTGCCTTCACAGGTTAGGTATGCTAGGAATTGCTAGGGCTAGGGTTTATAAGGCTTTGAGTCTTTGAGATAGTAAATTAAGGTTGGACTTCAGGTTTCAGAGGTTGCGAGCTCGGTTGAAGGTTGAGTTGTGCAATGAGTGTATCACTACGATGCAGGACTCGCCGTGCTTCCTCAATCAGAATAGAACTGACTACATTGGGTTTAGAATTTCGATTTCACCTGGTCAGGAATGCGTAGCTGCTGCCAATTCTCCCATGTGTAGAGTCTTCGAGAAAGCCTGAAGCCCAGCATTGCCCGTGCACTGCAGATGCAGGTTATTGTAGCACCCTAAGTCATAGAACCAGAGTGCTAGCCTAGGGCTAGGGCCAAGTGACATAGCTGACGTGGCTTTGAAGGCTTTTGCGCTTTCTCCCTTTTGCCGTGATCCAGCGCTTGGGAGCTTGAGTCAGCTTGAGCAAGAAGGTGCGAAAGGTGTACTCGAGTCGTGATTCCGAGATATTGATAACTTCATATACATATATTTGGATTGGGAATTCATATGCTCGGTTGAAACATATGCGTATTGGATTGAATTTTTTGAGATGTACCCGTTTCTGCGTGATCGATGTAAACATTGAGGTGCGCCTTGTGGCGGCAGTGGAGGTGGTGGCGGTGGTGGTGGTGCGATGATTTGCCGCTTTGCCACGGTCATGATGACCATGATTGCGTGCTATTGATGTTGTTGTCGCTGTTGTCATTGCTGCTGTTCGTGATGTTCATGGTGGTGGTACTGGTACTGGTGAGCCGGTGGTGGTGATGGTGGTGGTGGTGGCGACGGCTGCGATGATGATGGTCAGGGTGTTGATGATGAACATGATGATGTTTATGGCTGCAGTGGTAACAGTGATGATGACAAAACAATAAGGATGATCGCGACGATAATGACGACGGCGATCATCATGCTTCTCTTGCAGCTGCTGCTGCTCTCGAGCTGCTGCTGTTGGCGATGGCGATCATGCTCACGGTGATACTGGTCAGTGGCGGCTTGGTGGGGTTGATGATGATAATCTTGCGGGTGATGGTGATGATAATGATGATGGGGACGATTCTTTTCATTACTGATGTAGCATTACCCGCAAAATGTGGCAGAGCCGGTGGGACATACTCTAAGCCTAAGCTCCGAGGCCTTCGAGCACGGGTTCGAGGAGTCAGGTTTTCGAGTGGGTAAAATAAGTGTTCTTGGATTTTAGTAAAGGCGGGAGCTGGCACACATTCTGTTCGCAAAACTTGGGAGCTTTTACATGAGCTCCTACAGCAACTCAATTTTTGGTAGACTTTTTTTTGCAAAATTTTTGCAAAATCCGATTGCAAAATTTTTGCAAAGGTACTTGCAAAATAATTGTTTTTGGGATTCATAGGCATAGGCCGGAGAAAAATCTCATAAATCTTGTTGCGGGTGTACAACGGCCAGCCGAAGATGATCGGCCCATCCGTGGCAGAGGACGCAGTAACTATGGTTCACGCAGAAGAGTTGCTTCTCGTTACGTGTTTTGGCAGGACAGCCACATCGACGTGCCGAAGGGCCCGGATTCGGCATCGGAGAAGGACGAGTGTAAGGTTGAGACGAAGAGTTATTCATAGTTGTGGGTTTTTGCAGGATGCGCAAAAGCGACTCCGACATCCACAGCGATGTTCAGGGCCCCGGGACATCGTCCAAGGAGGAGGAGTGTAAAGTTCATGCACACGCAAGGTTTTTTGTGGGTGCATCTCTTCACGCGTGCGTGTCGATGTTTTATAGATCCTAGGTCAAACGAAATTTTGTTAGCAACAAAATTTTGGGCCATGACAATCCCTCGCGCTACTCTTAGTAGTGCTTTTCATTTCAGCTTTCACAACATTTCAATTGTGATCCTCTGCGCTACTCGTAGTAGTGCTTTGCAGTTCAAGTTTTCACAATTTTGTATTGTGATTTGCGAACCCACTCTCTGAGCAACCGACGAATTTTTGACTTTGTCGGCAAACATCCTTTTGTTCATGTTCGGAATTGTGGCCACTGGAGCTGTCTCGTCATCGAGCCAGAGAATTTTTGATCTGAGGGCTCTCTAGAGGCTTGTAATTCCGTCTAACAGGCCTGAGCCCTCCGTAACTCGGTGTTGCTCTTAGAGCGCCGTGCAAGAGCCCCACCGGGGGCTCGGATGGATCCGAGCTCGACCCTTGCGGCCGAGTCGTCTTCCAGCGACACTCAAGAGGCCATTTCGGCCCACCTGCACGCAGTTCAGCTTCAAGTTAATTCCCTTGAACAGCAGCTTGCCTTGCTGCAATCAGAACTGCAGGAAGTTCGCCAACAGCTTGTGAACCTTGAGGCCGAAAGATACCAGCACTCCCTTCGCTTGGGGTGGCTGGAGCAACTTGTGCAGCGCGTTTCACGCGCTTTCCGCTTTGAGTGATTGTGCCTCCACTGGGGTACTTCGGGGCTGTAGTAGAATGGGGGATGATGAGAACAGCTCCCTCCCTTCGAGTTACGGGCTTCACCTGAGGTCGTGCCTGCGAGACTCGAGGTCTATTTGGAAGACCCCTTGGAACAATGCACTCGTTGCTTTTGACCCTAAGCCCCGCTTGCCGCCTCCTCTTGGACCTCTTCCACTTGTAGTCCCAGCGAGCCCTTCTGCTGATCAGCCGGCCGTGCCGATCCCTCGCTTCATCAGGTCGGAAGGGCTTGAACAGGTTTGTGCTAAGATGGCCAAATTCAAACACACTTCATGGGAAGTTATGATCAACGAGGAAAGAAATCTTGCCGTGAATAAGTGGCTCAGCCTGGTCATGGTCGAGCCCTTGACCTTCGGTGTAGCTAGGAACTTCTACGCCGGCAAGGCGTCGGGGATCTCTTCAGGATCACTTGCAGACAGCATTTCGGATTGCCTTGCTGCCAAGGCCACATCGACGATCAATGCCAGGGCGAATTGCTTGTTGCGGTTTGTTTCTTGGGCAAAGGGGAACATGCCGTTTGTTTTTCCCTTGACCGAGCATGCTGTCTACGCATACTTCGAGGAGAAGAAGTCCACAGCAGCGGCAACTTCGTTCAGGAGCCTTCTTTCTTCCGTTGCTTTCGCTCAGCATGTGGTAGGCCTGGAAGGGTGTGACAAGGTTTACACTTCGGGTCGCGTCCGCGGCCTTGCGTCGAAGCTTTACATGCAGAAGAGGAAGCTCAAGCAACGGAATCCTCTGAGGGTCTCCGATGTCATTCTTCTTGAAAGGATTTGTTGCAAGCTTGAAGACAGGTCTTTGCAGGACCGTATCGCTGCAGGTTTCTTTCTCTTCTTGATTTATGCAAGAGCTAGATACAGTGACGGGCAAAATGTAGCATCGCTGACTGATTCGCCGCTCTACTTGGAGTGCAGTGTGGGCAGGTCCAAGACGAGTTTCACTTTGGAACGCAAGACCAGGTACTTGCCAATGGCTGCCAGGAAAGTGGGCATCAAGTGTGCATGGGCCGATGCGTGGCTTGAGGCTTTGGCAGAGGCGGGTCTTGCGATCAAGCCGAACGACCCGTTGCTCCCCTGCCCTTCTTCGAATGGTTCGTGGAAGATGATCCCGCTTCCGTGCGATCAGGCTTGCTCGTGGCTCAGGAGCCTGCTGGGGAACGCTCAGAGCGATCCCTATCTTGCAAATGTAGGAACACATAGCCTTAAGAGAACTTTGCTGAGCTGGGCAAGCAAGCGTGGTCTGCCCAGAGAACAGAGGGCCCTCTTGGGGTATCATACGTCCCGAGCCTCGGGTGCGGGATCAGAGCTGATCTATGAGTCCGACGCCCAGTCGGCTCCGCTCAGGGCTTTGTCATCTATGATCGACGAGGTGTCGTCCGGGGCCTTCAAGCCCGACAAACCAAGGGGGCAGCAGCTTGCTTCCGAGCTGTCGGCGCATGCCGATCCCCCTGGCGACGAGATCGAGTCGTCAGACTCTGAGGGCTCCGAGGACGAGGAGGAGATCGACCACTCAGGGGACGAAGCTTGTGTTGCCGAGGCTTTGGACTGGCATGGGAAGGTCGACCTTGACAAGATTGATCCCTCGTGTGTTTTCTTTCGGCATCGCCAATCCAGGGTAGTGCACATCACTGCCGACGAAGCCGGTGCCAACCTAGGCTGCGGTAGGACCATTTCGGGTCAGTACAGGAAGCTGGAGGCGCGACCCGCAGTTTTGCATCCAAGGTGCAAGCAGTGCTTCAGGAGATACTTGATTGTGCAGCAGGGCACATGACTCTGCATCCGGCTCGTGCCTGCAATTTTGTGCAAAATGGTGATGTCGTGCACGTGCGCTCCGCAAGCCGGTCAAGTGTTGTCATTTGTGGTATCGTGCAAGAGCAGAGATC